GGAGAGATTTTAGGTACGGGTAAGGAGGGTGACTAATTATGTGAAACTCACCCGGTGCCAGCTCAGTTTACAGACGTGTATTAATAACACTAGGACGACTCTCTGAGAGATGTCTGGGACATCTTCACACCAACCAGCGTCACATTTCCTCAACTGGCCCCGTCACTCCCAAGTACCAAGTCCAGGAAGATGAGCATGAGGTCACTGACTACAGTGGGGCTCCCAATGACAGTCCCAGTTGGCAGTGATCCTACTAGGCAAGGGAGTTTGATTTATGATAAACACCATCACTACTGTCTGTCCCTACCACGTCCCGGCTCCCACAAGCCTGGGCCCAGGAAGCCCGTGCAAAGCGCCGGCCCGTGCGGGTGGACCCGCCTGCCTCTCCACGCCAGGGCCTGCTCTGAGTTCGCTCACTGGGGCTGCCCAGCCCTGAACTGACCATCTACTAACTCTGTTCCGGCGTCCTCCAGGTCGCCTACCTCCCCTTGCTGCATGGTCTCTGGAACTGCAGCCAGACACTGCTCTCTCAGTCCCGCCAAAGCCCACTCATGTCTAACACCCTGAACGTGAGTGCCACGGACATGCGCTAGCGATCACTTTTGCCAGAAACTCCGGCTCAGACAGAGCTCAGGACCCAGCTCGCAGCCTGCACTGAACCTTGCCAAAGACCAGCTCTGCATCCGCATCCACAGACACTATTTCCAGCAGACCAGACACAGGGAAGACAGCTCGCATTTTACATTCTCTAGAAGTGTTTAAATTCTGTATACCACCAATGGCCCGGAAAAGCCACACGCTCTGTCTTTGCTTCAATTACTTTGTTCTCTTTAAGTAAAATGAAATCTGAAGCCACACAGAGGTTCTGGTGCTGAAGCAAGAGCATTAGCATAAATATTGGCTCGGTGGAACTCACATTTCTCTTGCACTCACAGAACTGAAGTGCCACCCGCCCCCCTCTTGCCGCACGCGTTTTCTGAACATCAGCAAAAAACTAGTTTTGTCATCAGAAAACTGCTCTGGCCTGGCTTTTAAATCTGGCTGCTGGCACCTATCGGGGAACTGATGAGGGACAACTACTTTTGACTTAAAAACATCATTTAGTAAAGTGGAACAGCCCACCCCTCACGGGGGGCTTCAGCTGAGGTCATCTGTCTGTTAACAGAGCCGGCAGGAGAGGGGGGACCTCGTTCTAACAACCGAGCGTGCCAGGGAGACAGGCTTGCCGGCAGCTTCAAAGAAACCCATCGGCTCACCGTGTTTGCGTCAGGTTTTGTCCGTATCCTACCACTCACAACAGACACAGGCACGAAGGCAGGCAGACAACATCGCCCGGCAGAATCCGTCCACGGGCTGACAGCTGTCGGGGACTGCGGAAAGTCAGTTCTCAACTCTGGGGTTTCATTTCCTACAGTGACGGAGATTTTTACGTGTAATCCTGGCTTGATTTTTCTGGATCGAGCTGGATATCTGCAGGGATCTGCGGTCCGTGCCGGTGTATGCAGTTATGGGTCCCTCGGCTTAACCGCCTCGCCGGGGCCCGTCCGAAGAGCCTTCCCCTCAGTCGCCATTTTTCTTTAGCTGCAAATGTCTCGAGCACGGAACCCACTCGCCACGCGGGCTGAGCGAGATGCACGTTGTTTGGCTTCGAGACAGGATGCTGATTGCACGAAGGTGTGGAGTGAAAGCAGCGCCACTCTGCTGCCCAGCGACGACGTGTGCGAAGGGCCCAGCACAGCGGCCAGGCCTGGACGAGACTCCCAGTGTAGATCTGGGCCCTTTCCGTGCCCACCCTTGGCAGCCCTTACGTTTGGGGCGCTGTGAGCATCTCCCACCTTCGCAGCCTTCATCCCCCGCACCCTGGATGCTCCCACTGCACCTGCTCCCCCTCCCGGGAGCTCGCCGCCTGTTTCGCGAACGACTCCTGCACGATCTCACAGCGGCCCCGGTGCGGCACCCGGGACAGGCGTGGCCAGCGTCTGTTAGTCTGTTCCACCCTCCTGACTGGAAGGCCGCCTGGGGCAGGGACCACCTGTGAAACATTCTAAATGCTAAATGCCCCCAAATAAGGAACCACAACAATAGCCTCACCGGTTTCTTGCAGGTTTCTTCTAAACTGTAACCCCTACTTCCTCTCTCAAACAGACTTTTTTCCCTAAGTATGTACCTCTTTAACCACGAATGCCACCATGGCTTGGAGAAGCAAACGCCTCTGACTTTGCTCCGGTGTCTCTTTCCCTTTAAGTAAAACGACGCCTGAACCCACACAGGCTCTCCCTGAGGGGAAGCCTGAGTCCAGCATCGCTCCGAGGGTTTCCTGTCGTCCACAGAGTCAAGTCCAAATCGCTTCGCACGCCGAAGAAGGCCTCTCCCAGGCAGGCCCATCTGATCCGCTCGGTTCTACATCGCACTGAAGCATCAGGCGGGCCAGATTCTGCTCTGCTTTTCTTTCCAAAATGCAATGCACCTTTAGTACGCATTACTCATCTCCAGCCTGAGCTCCTGTGCTCCAGCCACCCCTGTCCCTCCTTTGCATGAATACCTTGAACGCCCACCTGTGTGTGCAACCAAGATTCCACGCGCTTTGCCTAAGCCAGATCAAGTCACTTGCCATGTATCTGTCACTGCTGCTCTGCCCCCGCAGCACTGTGCTCCGGGTCCTTGCAAGGGCCCCCCTACTATGCATCTAACTGTGGGTTGTGTCATCTCCCCAACAAGAACAGAAAACCCCCCAAGGGCAGAGGGGACAGTGTGTTTGGCTTTTGATCCAGTGCTGCTTCCGATGGTCCCTGACCCCTGACAGTCACCTAACAGACATCTGTTCAGTGGATCGATGGACTGTTGTGCCCATGCAATTAAAAACCATTCATCAAGGTACAGCAGCAATAAAGGACTTCTATTTGGTGTCTTCTTTCTTAAGAGAAAGCAGTGAGGTGTGTTTAACAAAAAGGGCAGAGCTAAGGTTCCAAGAAGGTTTGGAAACTGTTCCAAAATTCCAACCTGCTTCCAAGCACTGCCTGAAGCTAAGCTATAA